AAAATAAAAATGTCTCCTACCATTTCTTAAGATTAGGAAAATACAACCTCAGGTGAATATCAACGCGTGCCATCCTGCACTGTGTCAGTATTTCATTCACCCAAAACGTGTCAACAGTTATGTAGACTCCATGATTCAGTAGCTTCTAGATCGACTTTTAACAGCATTAACTTGTAGCAGTCATTTGTTGTGTCTCACACTGTTATGAAGAAATTTGCTTCTTTGCAACGTTGCTTCAGTTCATTCAGGTTTGCAGGGATTTATTTATACACAGCTCTCTTAATATCCCTCCACAGCATTCCAGCTGCGGCAGTTCAACAACATCTGTAATTTTGTTAATACAGAGATAACTGATTTCATAATAAATATAAGCATTTATTTCTGTACAGTAAATGTTTAAAGGATGAAACAATATTAACAACAAGGGTTAGGAGCAAATATGTACATTTTTATGAACATTGTATTTACAGCCTTAGTTTGCACCGTCACTCAGTGTATGGCTTTATTTCCACCCATGACTTTTTTCAGCTTGAAATCCAGATAACAGACATTAACCCACACGATATTATAGTCTTTAGCATAACCACACTTGCAGGTACAGTGCTTAACACATTTATTAGATCACCTGTGATAAAACAACCCAGCTCCCACAAATATTTTAGAAATCTGTCAATCTAAACATTAATATTGTTATTTATCAGGCAAATAACACATTGAATTTATGTTTTTATATGCAAAAAGGATTTTTCCAATTACAAATACTGATAATTTAGAGCAGCTGTGGCATTAAAACCTTCCATTCAATCGTGCTCTTTTAAAGTTGTTAAGCACTGTAACACTGCCTAACACCATCTCACATGCTGTAAATATGCATATATACAAATCCACTCAGTAGCACCAACATAAACATGTGAACAAAATCTGTAGAAAAAAAAAGAAACTCAACAATACAAATATATGATAATAAACCACAAAGGAAATCTGTCTGGACACGTGGCATTCTTTTGTCAGCGATGCTGGTATAAGGCAGCCGGTCCTGAGGGAGCACTTAAATACACATGTGACTTGGTACAGAGCACTATACACTCCGCTTTTGGTCACATGTGTCTGAATCAATGCTTTTCAGCCTTTCAGGAATGTACTACACCCCATGAGGGATCTACATGCAAAAAAAAAAATTAAAGATGCCTCTCTAGCGCAGACATTGGACAGCTGAAAAGGCACACTGAGGCACAAACTCGTAGTGTCCTGAGATTCTTTTCTAGGTAAATGGAAGCAGTACCATTAGGTTGTTTTGGACTATATTTCTGCACAACACTAAGGCAGATTGTATGACGTATGATGACTTATCAGTCTGACATACTGAGGTCACACTAGGGTCACAATGGCGCATGTAACTCCCAGTGTTGCCCCCATAATATTACATGTGTCAAGAGGTAGAGCAGGTCATCTAGAAATTGTAAAGTTGGTAGTTCCATTATTGGCTGCTCCGCCTGCATCCTAAATATCCTTGAGCAAGACCAAGTTGCTCTCTGATGCATGTATGAATGTTAGATAGCGCTTCTGCATAGAAGCAGTGCTCGTATGAATGGGTGAATGAGGCATGTTTAGCATTTACATTCGCCTGCTGCATACTCAACTCTAAAGAAAAACTATAATCTGTTACTATCTGCAGTTTAGATTAGCTTAGCATAAGATAGCAAACCATTCCCTGGTTTTGCACAGAAGTAGCAATCACCTTGCTAATTTTACTACATAACACCCATAAGGTGCTGACACGTCACTTTTCAGTTTTGTTTTTATACGAACTTAAGAAAAAAGCTCTAGAGATGATTTTCCTGTTTGACAAAGCTAGGCTAGCTGCTTTCGCCTGATTCCAATCATTATGCTAAACAAAGTTAGCAACTCAGGAGGCAAAAGCTAAACATTTGGTTACAGAAAATAGACTATTTCCTGAAACTGTTGTTTATCGGGGCGATCGTGGCTCAAGAGTTGGGAGTTCGCCTTGTAATCGGAAGGTTGCTGGTTCGAGCCCCGGCTTAGACAGTCTCGGTCGTTGTGTCCTTGGGCAAGACACTTCACCCGTTCCCTACTGGTGGTGGTCAGAGGGCCCGGTGGCGCCAGTGTCCGGCAGCCTCGCCTCTGTCAGTGCGCCCCAGGGTGGCTGTGGCTAAACTCAACAGGCCATCACCAGTGTGTGAATGGGTGGATGACTGGATATGTAAAGCACTTTGGGGTCCTTAGGGACTAGTAAAGCGCTATATAAATACAGGCCATTTACCATTTTAAATGATAAGTAGTGCAAGATGTAATATTATCAAAAGCAGGCAAGTGGCTTGATAGATGACACAGTTACACTGCCAGCAAAGCAGTTATAATAACAACTAAAAATGATCAACATCAAGGACTTCTCAATCTGATGATCGGGTATGTTTTGGTGAGTAATGAAGAAAAAAATGTACGCCTTGATAAGAAAAAAAAATTAACTGGTATTTTCACAGTAGAACGTCTATGTATCTTTGAGGATATAGTGGTTTAAGGTTGTCACATACAGGCTTTGATCACCATATCTTTGTGCTGCGTGAGGTAACAATGCTAAACGATGAAGAAGGTAGCTTATCATTAAGGCACCTCCTTCCACTCTCCTCATCATTTTTCAGTTCTCTGCAAAGACCGGATTGTCTGCCTCTTCATGCAAACTCACAACTTGTCTCTGTGAGGAACGCAAAGAAAAAATAAAGTTAGAAATAAAGATGCAAAATGGATACTGCAACAAAACAAGGTTTAACAGCATTTTTTTACATTTAGATTAATATTAATATTTATATTGTAGAATTACCACCTTTTAGACTTACTTTTGGGTATGAGTAACCATCAAGCCTCCTCCAAATGTGCACCTGCTCCTCAGTGGTTTTTTGATAAACGGGGTTGTCAAAGTGAATTGTGTTGGTGTTCTTCAGCCTGTAGTTCCTCCAGAGCAGAACGCCACCAACAGCCACCAGAGCGATGATCGCTATTTGATGGAAACGGATGCCGAGGCTAGTTACACATGATGTCAGTACTGGGTTTTCAGTGAATGAGCAAAAGCTTAAAGAGCTTACCAAGAGGTAGTATAACGTAAAGTGCTATTGGGGTGGTAGACACAGTCTCGGTTAGCACTTCAGCAAATTCAGGTCGGATATCTAATGCAAAGGTAAGCACAATATTTTAAGTTAGTGATACATAGAGCTGAACCTGTTATCTGAAATCTGCAAAACAACTCTCTTGGCACTTTGGCAACTCACTTGGAGAGGTGACTGGAGCTTGAGTGGTAGTCTGGGAGACTTTAGGATTTCCTGGCTGGGGTGAAGGCATCCTTTGTTGGGGTGTGGTGGACCTGAATGGAGGACTGGTAAGCCATAGCACTGGTCTGGCAACAGTGCTGGGAGTTAAGACCGGCACTCTAGTAGTTGTGTGAAACTTAGGCTTCACTATGGTCCTGGGTGTAGTCCTGAGTATGGTCCTCGGTGTGGTCCTGGGTGTAGTCCTGAGTATTGTTCTCGGTGTGGTGCTGGGTGATACTGGTAGCAGATACGGAGGACTTGTGGCTGGAACTTGAGGTAGCCCAGTAGTTTCAGGTGTTGGCACAGCTGGTAAAAAGAAACAGGAGGCAGGGAGTCAGGTAAAGGCTGCTTGATCTACTTAAATATTGTACTTATATTATTATATATTATGCACATATAACATTGTAGCAACTATTTTATCGTGATTCGTATTACTATTGCTAGCATACCTGGTACACATGTCCTCATATCCCTGGCTAGCGTCATGTTATCTGGACAGACACAGGTATATTTGGGGGGATGTCTTCCTATTTGAGGAGCTGCCAGGCACAGGAATTCACAACCACCATTGAACACCTGACACCAGTCTCTTCCTGCAATGGGAAAAAAAAAGAACAGTGGAATCTTTGGAATGTACGCTTTGGATGATAGCTTCCACTCTCATGTCTGTATGCTAAACAAAAGTGAATGAGCTGGGCTAAGCACCCAATTAATAGATGCAAATCTCACTGTTTAGCTTACAATATTTCTAATATCAATATAGAAAAAGCAAGCCCCGACTTAACTTCATCTTATCTTTAAAAAATAAGTCTTTTAGTACTGTAACTCTCTTACCAGCAGGTTGTTTGAGGTTATGGAACAGAATAATGTCTTCTGGTGACGATAGGTGCTCCGCCAGCGGCACAATGTCCTCACCAGTCAGTCTGTTGGCGCTGAGGATGGCGCTGTTACTCACATCTGTCCAGAACACTTTTTCCTGCAAACACAGAAACAGTTAAGATTGAATATTTGAGATATGATAAACACTACAGTTTACATGTGCAGCGAGTTGTTTATGAGATGTACTGGTCATGGGTCTCTGGGTTTATCCGCTGGTAAATTGGTACCTCAAATACAGCAAGCCCCAGTGGGTGAGCGAGTTTGTGTTCATCAATGATGAGGGTGCGTCGACCACCGCCCTGAACATCGATACTGGAGAGGGTGTGCAGCTTAGAGTCCACCCAGTATAGCCGCTGGTTTAGCAAGTCTGGGGAGGAAGTGGGTTGGGGAAAGTTAGACTAGAGTGAACACTGGTGTTAACGTTTACATGAATAAATAATCAAAAACTTGAAACTGAAGAGACATGAGTGCTTGAGTTTACCGAGTGTGATGCCATTAGGCCACACGATGTTGTTAGTGACCAGTGCGGTGCGGTCTCCTCCATTAAGACCTGCCTTCTCAATCTTAGCTGGATTCCCCCAGTCGGTCCAGTAAACAAAACTGGAATGTGAAAAAAATAGTTCTGTTACGTACGCGTAACACAAACAATATAGGCATCACTGCTATTACCAGTGCTATTAGCTTACTTGCTTTGGGGGTCTACCACAATAGCGCGGGGTTTCGATAAGTCCTGGTGGAAGAGGGTTTTACGTCGGCTACCGTCAGCAGTTACAACTGAGACCGTGCCACGAACGCTGTCGGTCCAATAGAGGTTACCATGGACCCAGTCCAAGGCAATTCCCTCAGGAGCATCGATGTCATTACCGATCACGATGTGGTGTTGAGTGGAGTCTTCAGCCGAGTTCATTGGAGTTCTGGGTAGAAAGTAAAAACAAGTGTCAAATAAGAGTATCATGAACAAAAAGAATATTTTCGCTCCGGTTTCATTCCTGCTCACCTGTAGATTTTCTTCTGGGATATGTCTGACCAGTAGATCTCTTTGGTGGCTATGTTCATGTCGAGCGCCACAACGTTCTTTAGGCGAGGGATTACTCTCGTGTATTCACTTTTGTCCAGAGTCATCTTTCTGACCTCATGATGGTTAGTGAAGAAAAGGTAGGCTATTGTTCCTACAAGGACAGAATGAGGTATATTTTATTTTGCAGTTTCCTATTTAAGTAAAAGTGAAATTAAATGATACTAATTAGTGCTGTCAGCGTTAATCTCGTTAAAATGACATTAACGCCATAACTACATTAACGCGGCAAATCTCTGTTAGCGAGTTAGCGCGGATCACCCTGTGCGTGGGGCTGGACAGCGCTAACGAGCTAACCGTGCTAACAGAGAACTGCCGCGTTAATGCGGTTATAGCGTTAACGTCATTTTAACGAGATTAATGCTGACAGCACTAATACGAATACAATATGTATCCTAGCTTTGGAAGATAAGTGGTGGCGTTCTAGGAATATAATTAATACAATTTTGCCACTTAAACAGCATTCATGCGAAAGAGAGCAAGAGAGCTAATAAGCTTGCTAGCTTTAACTGATAAACTGAATTTGATTACTTCTGGCTCAAAAAAAGAAAAAAAAAAGGCTGCTAATGAGCATAAATGAAAGGCTTCGTGCTAATCCACAGACAAGTTAGTGATGTCATGGTATCTTTTTACATCTTTTATATACAGTCTGCACCTTCTACTTGTGACACTGTGTGAAATATAAACTCTGTTTTCTTATAGAAAAAGTGCCAAAAATCTAATTTTATTTCTATTCTAACACAATCTTATTTATATCTATGGACATTCAACAAAACAAATACCAAATGCATAATTATCTTTATACAAATAAATCTAATTTTATGCTTAAAAAGGACTTTAATGATCCTTAACCCCCACCCCCCGAAGTGTAACAGCGAAACGGTTTAGTCATCAAGTTTAAACATTTAATGATTACACAACAACACAAGAGAACAGCATGGGCAGAACACAGAGAGCTCGAATACTTACCAATGGCCTTGCAGTGTTTAGTTGCTTGGTCAACTTGGTAACCCTCCTCACACTCACATTTGTAGCTGCCCATCTGATTGATGCAGATTTGACTGCAGGTGTCTGGGTTGGCACACTCGTCGATATCTGAGTCGAATGAAAAGAGAAATGTCTTTAAAATTCAATGAACCAGGAGTCCGAGCATGTCGAGTCACTGTGTACACATGGAATTACGAGATCCTTCTTTATCTAAAAGCGCAGCCAGTAAAAGGGTCAAAAGTAAATAGATTATTAGCACCGTTTGTTAATCTGGTTGAAGTTCACATTTTTTACTGTAATAGTGTGGCCTACCTTCACAGCGCCTTGTGTCAACGAGGCTGTATCCAGGGGGACATAAGCACTCATAACCGATCTTTAGGTCTTTGCAAATATGAGAGCACCCGCCGTTGTTGTACAGGCACTCATTGGAATCTGAAGGAAGAAGACAAAGGATCTTTTTCATTGGAATTCATAAAGTATAGTAAATCTTATTAAAAGCACAAAAAAGTAGAAATAATCAGACAGTTATTTATGAGGGGTACTCACCACATTCCCTAAGAGGTTCATCTGACCAATCCCTGCAGTCACGTTTCTTATCGCACACCTTCTCCATACTAATGCACTCTCCGCTGCGGCATTTAAACAGGGTTGGGCCCTCACAGTGGGTCGCTGTGTATGGACATAAAAGACGAGTTCAGCAAAAATAGATTAGAGATTCACACGGCTGTCCAAAAGGTGGGACTCATACCATTCACACAGCCAATCTCATCGCTCATGTCCCTGCAGTCATATTGATGGTTGCACTGCAGGCTCCCATGGATGCAAGTACCATCGCCGCATTCAAACTCGTCAGGAGAACAGGTGGCATGAGCTAGGGGGATGAAAAGGACAAGAGATTGTAAGAAATAGCAGCGCTAATGAATTCATAAAAAGGGACAAAGAGATAGTTTTAAAAAAAAAAATTTCATAATTACAGCAGTTAGCTTCATCTGATTGATCAAGGCAGTCAGCCTGTCCATCACACTTCCAGCTAACATGGATGCACTCTCCACTGCCACAACGCCACTCCATCGAGGAGCAGTGATGAATGCTCACGAGGTCAGGAGTCTTTGTCCCGCAGGTTTCGGGCCACTCATCCGAGCCGTCGGTGCAGTCGCGGTCCCCGTCGCAGGCCCACAGGTGTGGAAGGCAAACTGTGTTGTTGCACTGGAAGGAAGCGGAACTGCAGGTGACGGGCGGGCAGGATTCCTCGTCGCTGCCGTCCTCGCAGTCCAGGTCGTCATCACACACAAAGGAGGACGACACGCACTGGCCGCTCTTGCAGCGGAACTCGGACCCCGTGCACTGCTTGGCCGCTGACAGGTCGATCAGAACAAGGAAGCAACATTAGCGAACGTAGGAAGCTGGGTAATGCATGGGGCTCTGAACTCGGACTTACCACAATTCACCTCATCAGCTCCATTCTCACAGTCCGCTTTACCATCGCAGTGCCACGTGCTCGGGATGCACTGGTTAAGACGCCCTGCACAGCTGAACTCTGTTGGTTTGCATGTTTTGACCGCTGGAAGTGGCACAACAAAGAAAATCTTAACTGAGGTCTTGGATTGCGGGATTATGGAAGCACCAAAGAAAGTCCATTCACAGATCAGGTCACGGAGTACTCACCACAGGTACCAGGAAGTTCATCTGTGCCATCTCCGCAGTCATCAGAGCCATCGCACACCCACCTCAGTGTGATACATCTCCCATTCCCACACTGGAACTGGTTGGTTCCACATGTTATCAGTGCATCTGTGAAAGACGGACATAAAAAAAAAAAACAGTTCAAAAAAAATTGTTTTAGCAATTGTTTATGAAGCTGCTACACCTCACACACCATTTTTTACTGGGAGCTCTAAACTCTACACTCCACGCCACACGAGCCATCACACAACCATTAGCAAAATTAGCATGTTAGGTAATTAGCAGCAACACCAAATACAGTTTAGGCTAGACCTCATGCTGAGGATAGGTGTGTAAAATGTAATATCATTCAAACACAATAAATAGAAAGAAAATCCAATAGCAGTTGAAGGTTATACAGGTGGACGAACCCAGTGACAGACTAACGCAGAGCCACATCAACAGCGTGGCTAAAAGTATTTCTGTTGTTGGAGTAGAAATATCAGGTAATCCCGAGAGATTTGGTGTCAGCTCACTAGTGTATCAGTGTTATTTAGAGAAAAGATAAATGGCTAATCTAGTTACAGCATGTATGTGAGTAGGACAGGGTGCCTTTATCAGGGATATGCTGATGTAGTCCGTTCAAAATCGCAGTTGGAAACTTCAGGCATTTATGGTTCCTGGTAGAAAAAGAACTGAAGGCAGAAACTCTTCCTCCAAAACCTCATCTTTAATGGAAGCACTAAAGCTTCTGAGCTAGAAGAACCAATCAGAGTGCATATGAATGTTAACAGAAATTCACAAGAGCTGGTAGTTTAGGCCTTTCCTACTTCTAGCCTCTGAAACTTCGAAATAACCAGATTTATATAAGAAACCAACAGTCTGCGTCTCACTACGGATTCCAAAATGTACATTTTCATATGTGTGTCCCCCATAAGAGCAGCTCAATGAAAGCTAATCATAAATTATGTATGCTTACATACACATCTCATGCATAGTAAATCATAATGGACTCTTAGGAGAGGTCAAACAGCTGGTGTTTATGCGGCCATCAAATAAGGTGACGGCTTTCCTTGAGTTTATTCTTGTTGTAGTATTTTTATGACTCCAGATTTGCAAACATCTACACCAAGGAGAGATTAGCTATTCATTTTTATGACACAATATTTATGGCAATGGCAATACTGCCATCGCTATAAAGATAATGATTTATTTCATACTGACAGGCTTCTGAGGATTTCCTCGCAGGTAATAAAACTGTTCTTCTCTCTGAATGTTAAGGCTGCTCAGTGGACTTTTGCTATTTCTGCATCAGCTCTCATTCCCTGAATCCAGTGAAATGTTGGTCAGACCCGCTGGTTATTTACTTAATGGGCTTAAAGTTCAGACCTTGAAAGACAAAGTGGACTGAATGACTGGGTTATTGATTGAGGGCAAATCAACAACATGTGCCCATATGCCTGTTTTTTGTTTTTTTGTTTTGGGAGGGGGGAGGTTTCCAGTCTCTGACATCCGATGTATGTCAGTCACTGACCCTGATGTTATTTAAGATGCCCCTTAGTGCTCAGACTTAAACTTATATTAACACACCTTTAAAAATGAATAAGATCTAACGTCTCTGCATCACAGAGACAGAAATGCAGGTAATGCAGGTCGTCTGTCGAAATTTGAAACTTTTAAGCACAAGGCTTCTTTGTGACTGTTGAGGAAATGCGGAAGGGCGACAACCAGTTCCGACATGTTCCTGTCACACTACTTTCTCGAACTAGTATGTTGGGAACAGGTGTGACTGTGTGGCTTTCAAAGCTGTGAGAAATTCAGCCTGAAGATGACTGTGGTTTGGGATGATCTGGAGAGAATCCAGTCAGTTTCACGGTATCTGGCATTCCACCCTCCTGCAAACAGGGAGGATATTGTAGGGAGTTTATGTGCACCTGTAATTCATCCAAATCTGAATCAGAACAGCCCGGGGTGTTTGCACGTTTGGGGTTTTGCGCAAAAGGCGCTCTTTCTGAATCACTATGAATGATTCAGACAGCGGCTTTCAAAACCGGCTCTTCAGAAACCCCACCTGACACTTTTTTTTTTAAAACAATCACTCACACACACACACGCACACACGCACACACACGCACTGTTCAAACCTGATTGGCTGCAGAAGCTGCTGCGCTGAGCGCCAGTAAATGAAAGCACAAAAAATGCAGCTTCATTCAAAAACACACCGGCAAGAAAAGTCAAGGAGTACAATTATATTTAAAATTAAAGGCTGCACAGACACTAATGACGGAAAATATGAACAATGATGATATATGAACGATTTAAAATTTTGATTTTTAAGTGATAAAACAGAAGCCCCTTCAACCATCACCCCACCCTCCTCAAGTCTTTACATTTAAAGAAAGCGCAAGCGGTAAGATTTGATCCACATATCTTCACTGAACGGCATCAAGCTGGAGCACCACAGCGCACACGCACACACTCTGTAAAAGTAGTCCGGACTGCATAAATTCACAAAGTTTGGATGCAAATCTCAGAACTTACTTGTCTGAAAGACGAAGTTGATGAGAAACAGCAGGGAGGCGCAACACAGCAATCTCATGCTTGGCAGCTACTCTGGAAGATGCTCCACTGAAAGCCTACACTAATGAGTTTCCAGCCTGTCAGTAACACTGGGGATAGTGGGAATGCTGGGGCACTTGGAACAGTAGTTGCGGTCTGCTTGTTACAGAGATGCTCCTGCTGGAAGTTCTTGATGATGGAGCTCCGCAGACTATAGCTTGTGACAACATCAGAGCCCCTTTCAATGTGGTCCAGGAGCCTGTGGGTGGGATCCGGGGGAGTGGGGAGGGGGCGGGGCCTGGAGTGGTGTGATTTCTGAGGCGCACAA